GCAATTCTTGATTTAGTCCTGAGTGGAGCGCAGGATCAGGTCCAGGAGATAAACGTTACAGGACCGCTTGGAAATAGTGACCATAATATAATAACATTTAACATTCCTGTAGTGGGAAGAAAACCTCAGTAGTGCAGTACTTTGGCATTTAATTTCAAAAAGGGGAATTATGGAAAAATGAGGAGGTTAGTTAAACAGAAATTGAAAGGCATAGTGACTAGAAAGCTGCATGGAAACTTTTTAAAGACACCATAATAGAGGCCCAACTTAAATGTATACCCCAAATTAAAAAACATAGCAAGATACCTAAAAAAGAGTCACTGTGGCTTAACCACCATGTAAAAGAAGCAGTGAGGGACAAAAAGGCATCTTTCAAGAAGTGGAAGTTCAATCCTAGTGAGATAAATAGAAAGGAACATAAACACTGTCAAATCAAGTATAAAAATGTAATAAGAAAAGCAAAAAAAGATTTTGAGGAACAGCTAGCCAAAAACTCAAAAAGAAATAGCAAAATGTTTTTTAAGTACATTAGAAGCAGTAAGCCTGCAAAAAAAACCGTGGGTCCCCTAGGTGATCGAGATATAAAAGGAGCAATCAAGGACGATAAAGCCATTGCGGAGAAACTAAATGATTTCTTTGCTTCAGTCTTCACTGAATCTGCACCGTCCTTTGTGGGTGATGAATCTGAGGAACTGTCCCGGATTGAAGTGTCATTAGAGGAGGTTTTGGAACAAATAGAAAAACATAATGTTAACAAATCTCTGGGACTGGATGGCATTCATCCAAGGGTTCTAAAAGAACTCAAATGGGGAATTGCTGAACTATTATTGGTGGTTTGTAGCCTATCCTTTAAATCAGCTTCCGTACCTGATGACTGGAAGGTAGCTAACGTGACACCAATATTTAAAAAGGGCTCTAGAGGCGATCCTGGCAATTACAGACCAGTAAGTCTAACTTCAGTAATGGACAAATCAGTCAAAACAATAGTAAAGAAGTAAATAATCTGAAAATATTTTAAAGGAGAAAGCCCTCACATACAATATGAAAGCAACTGCAAAAAGGGGGCCAGATTTTGAAACTCTTACACCAACAAATCCTCTATTATGCAAGTAATTCATTGGACCTCAGTTACTCAGGGAGTAAGATATTGCTTAATATAAGGAAATAAGGGTGGCAAATCTGGCCCTGACTTTTCACTCATTAGAAACATAAAATCTCGCATTAGTGCATGCCGATGGGTACCTGTGTCTGTGATGTCAGTTACTATGCATCCAAACCCAGGCTTTAGCACACAGTTCATACATGCAAAAGAAAGTTTCCATGTGTACTGGTGATTGCACATTTTGTGTGACGTACCTTTTGGACCTGAAAATTCATCCCTAAGAACTATTTTGCTATTTAATATCTATGTTGATTGTGTTTACTTTTTCTTTCTTATTCAGCCTCAATAATGAAAATAGAAACGTCATATTTACGTTACATTTTGGTCGGATTCACTTCAGGGTTCTTCTGAAATAGCAGAAAGATGTAGTCTTTGGCATCGGATGAATGCAGTGGAGTATTTAAATAAAATAAAGGTTTCTTAAATCTTGAATGTTGCACCTAAAACTACAGGTTGAACCTCTTTAGCTCAGTACCCTTGGGAGCTGATGGTGCTGAACCAGAGAATTTGCCGAACCACGGAAGATCAATATTGTATAGCAGCATTAACAACACTTCCATTGCTTAGTGGGCTCTTAGAAGATATTTGGTAAAATAACAGCACGGAACTGTGAAAGCCAGGACTGGTGGCTATAAACAAACTTTATGGGACTACCAGAAATTTGGTCAAACCCATGATAAGTGGGCATCCAGCTAACTAAAATCATGCCAGACCATGGATGTTGCCAGATCAGAGAGTGCTGGATTAGAGAGGTTCAATGTGCAGTTGACAGTATCTGTGCCTACACGTCTATATAAGCAATGGTTCCAATTCCACCTCACATACTCACTGGAGCCATTAAGCAGTGTATACTTATGTCTTAGAGCACAACTGGGCCGTTATCTTTAATAATTAGAAATAAAATAAATACATAAGAAATAAAATAAAGAGTAAACAAAACAGGCAGAAAAAGTACACGGAGAGAAAAACAGGTGTTTACTGTAATATTTTGGTTTCTTGGCAACTCAAAAAGTTTTCTTCTTTCCCTTTGGCAATGGTACTATTCAGGCATTTGGCAAACACAATGAGGAGTCATTGTGCCTAGCTCCTAGACTAGAGAAAGTAAGCACAAAAAGATTCTGAGATCCCCACCCACCAGTATGTAAACAATAGTTCTAGGGAACACCGTGGCCAAGAGTTTCTGCCAGGCAGATTTTTTTGCCAGGGTTGGTTGGCCCTCCGAGATCCCTCCAGATTCAGGGACTAACTTTCAGGCAGAGACCATGGAACTTCTTTGGGATGCTCATGGGGTGAACCACTTGATTGTCACCCCTTACTACCACCAAACAAATGGCCTGGTGGAGAGTCTTAATGAAACTTTAGGAGCTATGATATGCAAATTTGTAAATGAACACTCCAATGATTGGGACCTGGTGTTTTAGCAGTTACTGTTTGCTTGCAGAGGTGTACCCCTTCCCAGTTTGGGATTCTCTCCCTTTGAACTTGTTTAAGGCCAGAAGTTAAGGGATCATTTGCAATTAGCATGGCTCGCCAATACGCGGTGAGCCCCACTCGCCAGCTGCTCTGTCTGGCGACCTGCGCACGCGCAGATCGCCCAAACCCGGCTCTTCCGGGTTGTAATCTACTTGCCACGGGTGAGTAGATTGCATTATTTGTCGAGCCTTGGCAATTAGTGAAGCAGCAATGAGAGGGGGCTACCTCTTCCCCAGGAAATAGCATTCTGGATTTTTTAGGCCACCTGCAAAACACCGTCAGAGACTCTTTAGCCCTTGCTCAACAAAACTTACAGAATGCTGAGCAAAACCAGATGGCCTGGTATGAAACATATGCCAGAGAGTGTTCCTTCAAGGTAGGTGAGCAATTATGTCTTGAAGGTGCTCCAGACCAATAAGATAGAAGCATACTGGGATGGATCATTCACGGTCCAAGAGCACATAGGAGCGGTAAACTACCTCATAGCGTTCCCAGACCATAACCTTAAGCCTAAGGTATATCATGTTAGTTCTCTAAAGCCCTTTTATTCCTGAGAATTTTAAGTTCTTCAGTTCACAGCCCAGGAGAGTGACAATGCTGAGTGGCCTGAAGGAGCCTCGTGTGATGGGAAAAGCAAGGGTGGTGTCGAAGAGGTACCACTCTCCATGAGCCTCGGCTATGAGCAGTGACAGCAGATCCAGGAGCTGTGTACCAGCTTCGCACTGATGTTTTCAGCCACCCGAGGACAGACCGAATGGGCTTACCATTCTATTAACACAGGTGAAGCTCACCCAATCAGAGCCCAACCTTACCAGGTGGCTCCTTCAGCCAAAGCTGCTATAGAAAAGGAGATCAAGAACATGTTAGAGATGGGTGTAATTCACCCCGCTGAAAGTTCATGGGCATCTCTGGTGGTTCTAGTACCCAAACCAGTTGGAGAAATCCATTTTTGGGTGGACTATTGTAAATTAAATGCTGTAACTCACCCAACTATCCAATGCATCACACAGTTAAACTATTGGAAAAACTGGGATGTGTCCAGTTCATCTCCACCCTAGACTTAACCAAGAGATTCTGGTATGTACCTCTGGATGAGTCAGTCAAGGAAAGGTCAGACTTCAATACACGTGAGGCCGTATGAATTTAATGGTCTCCCTTTCAGGCTACACAATGCACTCACAACCATCCAGAGACTTGTAGGTAATCTGCTAGCAGGATTTGGCAAATTTGCAGTAGCCTATCTATATGATGTGCCTTCATTCTCTGATTCGTGGTCAGAACATCTAGAACACCTCCAAGTTGTCTTCCAACACATAAGGGAGGCCGGGCTGACTGTTAATGCTAGGAAGTGTCAAATAGGCCTAAACAGGGTAACTTACCTGGGACATCAGGTGGGTCAAGGCATTATCAACCCTCACCAGACTAAAGTAGAGGCTATCCAAAACTGGTCTATCCCTAAGTGAAAGAAACAGGTTCAATCTTTCTTAGGCTTGGCAGGATATTACAGACAATTTGCACCATACTAAGAGAGATTACTGCACCACTACTAGACCTGACCAGAAAAAAAGCAACCTAAATCAGTTAAGTGGACTGAGAAGTGTCAGGAAACTTTTAAGCAGCTTAAGGCTGCTCTTATGTCTGACCCTATCCTAAGGGCCCGAGACTACAATACACTTTTCTTCATTACAGATGCATCAGATCGTGGTGTGGGGACAGTTTTGATGCAAACAGTGCCAGATGAACAATTCTACCCTGTTGTGTTCCTCAGTAAAGAACTCTTTGAGAGAGAAAGCCACTGGTCTGTCTCCGAGAAGGAATGCTACACAATTGGATATGCTCTAGAGAAGGTACAACCATATATTTTGGGACGACACTTTCATCTACAGACTGACCATTCTCCTCTGCAGTGGCTTCACAGTCAAAAAGACTAACAAGAAACTCCTTTGGTGGAGTTTGGCTCTTCAAGACTATGCCTTTGACATAAAATACATTCTAAGGAGCTTTTAGCAAAGTGGCTGGTGCACTCTCCTGTGAAGGTTCCCCAG